GCAACGGGACAAAGAAAATTCAAATGAGCACACAAATGTCAAAGATTTGTCTGCTGGTTGGCTCCAAGGGCTGAACGACATAAACCTGGAGCCACCGGCCTGGATTCTGGATATTTGATACTTTCAGGCATCTTTGGACTCTGGTGTGGCCTTCATGAGAGTCCTGCTGCCTCTTAAGGAGTTCGAACACGTCTACCAGGTGTGCTGAACGGTCCTTAGGGAGTTTTGTGAGGGCTGCACAACGCAGGCCTCCCATTGGCCGGTTCGGACCATCCTCTGGTCAGACGTCCTCCTATGAAGGCGAGGGGAGCAGAAGCAGCTCGAGCAGCCTTTGGCATGAAGGAGCTTTCAGTCAGCACAGTATCTGTCTGGGGTCTTCACCGATCCGATATCTGAGTTTGCAAAAAAATGCGTTTCGGCCAGCCTGAGAAAATGCAGATCCAGACTCCAGATTGTTTTTACTGATGCTGAGTTAGACTATTTTCTATTCAGTTAGTTTGTTTGTTTTGCCTTTTTTAATACATATTATATTATTATTATTTGCACTTTTTAGTGTTCACTGATAACATTTCCGTTCGTTATTTATCATTTTTATCCCTGAATAAACAGGTCAGCGTCTCTTTACCAACCTGTGCGTATTATTCAAACTCCCCTAACTCAGCTGACTAGTTGTTATCAGAGCATTAGCATTAGCATCTGTAACCCACGGGTCTGTGTCCTAACTATTAAGTTGTTATCAGAGTAAATCCCTGTTCAACATGAGTCTGACTACTAAGTAAGTAGATAAATAACTTTAAACTTTAACACATGCTCTGATGGGCCGGGATCGTAAGTGCAAAAAGCTGGATGGGGACATCCCTACTTCACATGTCAGAGTCCTGTATCCATGCGGGGGGCGGGGCATGTCTGGCATCAAAAAGCCTCCTAAATCAAAGCCTCTTAAGACTCGCTCACTGTGGATGATGTCCACAGATCTTCGGAGCTAACGGGCTCAGATGGAAACCCGGAGCTGGACACTGACTATTCGGGGGCTCACACTCGTCTCTCTTAAGCACCGTTTTCGACAGAATCACCATCCCACGGGAAACGTCAGCGGAGCTGTTCCACACAGACAAACAGCCCAGCCCCGGCGTTTGTTTGTGAATCACACGGCTGGTTAATTATCACCCGGCGGCAGATCAATGGACTCTCTGAGAGGGCCGTAAATCCGCCCCGGCGTGCAGGAGGGTCCATTGTTCCTGAGAGAGGGAATAAAGGGGGAGTCTGTGGGCTTCAGAGAGGGCGTGGGCAGCTCCTATCGGGCTTTAATCGGCTCTCAGATGATCTCTCCCCTGGCGGTTCTGCTGCTGTGGAGCTATGTCGGCCTTTCATGTGGACGGCTTCAAAGCTGGGTGGGAGAGGCTGACAGTTAACAAGCAAAAAGGGCCAGAAAATCAAAGCAAAGGATGTATAACACCCAGAAAATACAAAATGGGAGCAGTTTTTTTAGATCGAAATATAGGAGGAAACACAATAGGGTGAAGTTATTCTAATTCTGAGCAGCTTAAAGTTTCCTCTCTGCTCTGAGCTCCTTCCTTCTCCATCTCTGAGCTCCTTCCTCCTCCATCTTTCCTCCATCTCTGAGCTCCTTCCTCCT